CCTGATTGTCATCTTGGTCTTTCCAGGTCAGATCTTTGGCACTTTGTTTAGGGTTTTGACTCTGACCTATACCCTTGAGGTGGGTGAGGGTGTCTTTTAATGGCCACGCCTGAGGCCAGTCTTTTTTTTTGATGATAGTTACATCAGTACCGGTGTCTACCAATCCAGAAAACTGTCTCTCATCTAACCATAAGGTCATGAGAGGCTTTTGGGCTGAGAGTATTTTTGACCAGTAGACATTGGATGAGCCGAATCCCTGGCTGCCTCTGACATTGTTAAGAGCCTTATTAGAGGTAGTGAGAAGGGGAAGGAGCAACAATTGAGCAAATCTATGGCCTGACTGAATGGTGTTAATGGCTTTGGGGGAAGAAACCATAACTTTAATCTCTCTGGAGTAATCATTATCAATCACCCCAGGGTAGATCAGCAGCCCATCCATAGTGTTGCTGCTCCTGTCTATTACAAGCCCAAAGGTCTCTTTAGGTAGGGGTCCAAAGACCCCTGTCGGGAGGGCCTGTACCCCCATTTTTGGAGTCAATACTGTGTGGGCGGTGGAACTGAGGTCCAGTCTGGCACTTTCTGTTGTTGTTCTGAAGAGGTCTAAAATGGATTGTTGTTTGCTGGCGCAAAGTTGAGCGCCCCGTAAATTTGTTTGGGTCTGGGGGCCCGGGGCTGGCCCCCCTCCCATTTCCCTGGTCTGGGTTATGGGCAAGCAGGAGGGGCTGGCCCTGAGCGTCTGTCTGTCTTGGACCTGTACTCATTCGCCCAATGTCTCCCCTTATTACATCGAGGGCAAGGCCCCGGGGGTGTGGCCCTAGGGGCCGACGCCCTAGGGGTCTGACATTTTTTGGCAAAGTGACCCGTTGTCCCGCACCGGAAACACTTGTTACCCGGGCGGCGCGACAAAAACTGTCTGACCGTGTAACCCTGCATGGCGGCAGCCATAGCAAGCCCCTGTTGGTAGGTGGTCCCAATTTTTGAGCAAAGGCGAATGTAACCTGAGAGATCAGTTTTCTTTTTATAAGGGCGGATGGCGGCCTGGCAAGCAGCATTGGCATTTTCAAAAGCAAGCTGTTTAACAAAATCTGTCCCTGTTTTTGTGCTCTCAAAAATCCGACCCGCTGCTGTGAGCAGGCGGTGAACAAAATCCGCGAAGGGCTCATCAGGCCCCTGTCAGATATTGGTGAGAGAAGCACTCACATCTCCTTTAGAAGGGAGCTTTTTTCAAGCTCTAGTGGCTGCGGTCTGAATCTGGGCATACAACCCCCGCATCAAATTGCATCTGTTGATCGCTGGAGGCATAGGCTCCATCCCCCAGAAGCATATCGAGTATCTAACCATTACCCGCCTGAGCGTTGTGTCTAGCAGTATCTCGGCAATTTTTTACATATTTAGATTTCCATAGTAAATAGTCACCTCCTGTAAGGGTGGCGCGGGCCAGAGTCTGCCAATCGATTGGGGTGAGCCAATTTTCTGTCACCGATTTTAAAATGGCCATTGTGTAAGGTGCAGTGGCCCCGTATTGAGCTGCGGCCATTTTAAGTTTTTTAATGACCTTAAAATCGAAACCACTGTGGTGTCTCTACGCCTGTCCCTGCATGTCAGTAGTTTCAGTTATGGGAAAGGCTTTTACATTTTTAAGTTTTAGGGATACTCTTGACCCGGATGGCACCCTAGGGGCCGCCCCTCTAACGGGAGGTCGTGGCTTAGGTTTGTCCTCTCTACGGACATTTTTATGGGTTTTGCCTGTTCTTAAGCCCTCGAACTGGGTAATAAGTTCTTGGTGTTTCTTTTCTAATCTTATTTGTTCTTTTAGAAATTTTATCTTGTCCCGGAGTTTTTTGGGGGGATCAACAGCAGGGCATGCCAAAACGGGCACGTTGGGAGTGTTGGGTACCGGAACATAAGGCGGCGGACATTGGACTACGGGCGGCCAGTCAGGATTATGATATCTGGCTGCCTCCTCCTCAAGATTGGCCCAGTCAGCCTCCCCCGGATCGTTTTGTGGCAAGGGGGGGGTGTCTGAGGTGGCGGAGGGAAGGGTACAAGGTCGGTTC